TCTTTCCATGACTTTTCTTCTTCCTTACGAAAGTTGACATTTAATCAAAAGTGACCTTAGGGGAAAAACCACTTTGTCAGAAAGAACTAATACCAGATTTAATTTCAAAAATTAGTCTCCCGCATATAGGTAATTAAAACAGTATATTCCCCTCTGCAAGAGCTCATATTTTCTTGCTTTCGGATATGTAAACTTCTGAGTGAACATTAACCAAGTAAAAACAACAGCTTTATACCACATTAATATCATATCCAGACTTAAACTCATTTGTGCATCAATTTCCAGACAAATAAGTCAAAATTAACACATTAAACCATATCCAATGTTACAATATACAAATTCTTACTTTTTACAGGAAAAATGAGTGATCAGTAATTCCTGTATGTACATTAGTTCCAGAAAAAAGGTGAAAAATAAACGCATATATACAAGTCAATAATTGCTTACTTATTAATTGACTTAGTATCCAGATTGGACAAGAAGCCAGTATATTCTCGATTTTCCGCAACGAAAGCCACGTCCTCATCTGATACTTCAACTGCCTCATCAGGAATTTCAGGTAGCAGCTCCGGCGGTAGCACAATCTTTTGCTTTTTCTTACCCATTACTAATGGTCTCTGAAAGAGAAAAAAAATATTAATAATATACGACCTATGAGCTTCACTAAGCATGAAAAAAAAGTACAGGTTAGTAGCTGTGAGCACCCACAGCGTGACTCAAGAAAGACTTTTGTACTTAATCAGTTAAATTTAAATAAAATTGATATTTGCTAAAACGAAAACTAGAACACATTCACGAATTAGAGACAGACTTGGGATAAATATGCTGAGAGGAAGAAGAACATACGCTTTAATTTAATTTTCTTTATTAAAGAGAGAAAGAGCAGAATATGGTGCGTGCAGAAAGAGAAAGGGGAGGAGGGAAGCGGCTGAGTGTGGGAATTAATTTGAGGTCTCAATCTGAATCAGATTGGACGCAGGTTTGGGTTTGGGTTTGGGTCTATACATTCCTTTGAATTTTCTTTCTGTCTCTAAATATCCAATTTGATTGTCATGTCCAATTTGCATCTTGGCTTGAATCTTGAATAGTTTTGATATTTTGGGCATTTGTGTCGTATACATTGATTTCCTTTTGGGATTAACTATACTTCAGGTCGTTTATCCTCGTAACAAAACATAGTTAAAAAAATGAGCCTGAAAAATATGCTGCACTTTCTGGAATTCCCAATATGTAAAAGGATTAATAACCTGCAATTAATTAATGACTCAATAACTCATGATAGGAAACATATAATTATAAACATGATAGAGACACTGATTTGCTTTCTTCATTTACTTTAAGTATTCCAGAAAATAGCTTAGCAGCAAAGATGAGACATATAATTATTATAATTATATACTTTTGTAGTTTTGTTTTATTATCATCAAAACACAATATTCTAACTTATGATTTATCTTTTTTTTTTAGGTCCAAGTGCAATCATACCCCGTGCTCCTAAAGTACGCTCTCATATTTGGGAACATTTTGAGGTGAAAGAAGATAACGGAGAAGTTCGCAAAGTAGAGTGCAAGTATTTTGGTCGAGTCTATAATGTTCATATAAAGAGGGATGACACATATAGTTTAAGAAATCATATTAAAGTGGACGTTCACTATAAAACCTATTGAAGGATGGCTTCATTCAACTTCAAGAAGGAATGACTTCTATAGCGTTAGAAAAGTAAATTGACGTGAGAGGACTTAGATTTTTTTTTTTTGACTTAGATATAAGTTGCTAATATTCTTTGCTGAAGTGAAAGTTTCATCCTTCAATAGTTCAGGTGTTTCCTCCGTTTTTCAATGCCAAAGTAGATGATCTCTATTTTTTCTGCCATATCTCACTTTGCACATTTTGCACATTTAAACCCAATCATATAATAAAATCAGATAATAAATAAAGCCAAATACAACAATTATTCTAAGCTCGAATTCTTGAACCCTGAACCAGAGATTCTGGGTCTGATCCCCAGCAAAGTTGCCAGAGCTGTCACACCTCCTTTTTACCTGCGCCCGCAGGGGCGTAAAGGGAGTTTTTCCAATTTAAGGATAATCGAAACGGAATTTATTTATTTAATTCAGAGTCGCCACTTGGGAGATTTATGGTGTCCCAAGTCACCGGTTGAATCCCGAACCGAGGAAAATATTGACTCTGTATTACAGTCCGCGAACCAGAAATCCGAGTAAGGAATTCTGTTAACCCGGGAGAAGGTGTTAGGCATTCCCGAGTTCCGTGGTTCTAGCACGGTCGCTCAACTGTTATATTTAGCTTTATTTATCTGATTTTAATACATTTTGAACATATATGCAAATTTTAACTTTTAGCCGCTTTTATTATTACTATTTTAAAAGAGAATTGCAACGTCGTGAAAACA